CATTTTTAGATCCTTTTCCATTATAGCTTCTTACAAGAAATTGAATATAGTTCCCTGGGCCAAATTCCCCTTTTCCTAAGGACAACCATCATATTGGATTATGGACTCACCCTACTCCAGTATCACCTCATCTTGACTTGATCACATCTACAAAGACCCTATTTCCAAATAAAATTACATTTATGGGTACCAGGAGCTAGGACTTCAGATCTTTCTGAGGGGCATACAATTCAATTCATAACACAGAGTTTTAAAAAGCAGTTCATGCTAAAGATGTTTATAAAATGTATAGAAACTTCTCTAAACTTCAAGCAAAGAATTGTTTTGACTGAGACCATATATGTCTTATTCTCAGAATGTCTCTCCAAACAGTACGACTTCTTGCATTTCCGTGAAACCGATCATTTACACTTTAATGTTTATCTTTTTAACTTGTGTAAATAATATGTGTAATGAAAAGAACTTTTCAATTTGTGTTCAGAGACCAGCGTTTTAATCATAGTTCTGATATTTTAACCTGTGTCTTATTCTCCTGTAGTGTAAAACGATATTAATAACACACATACTGCATTGTTGTTCTAAAGACTAAACGAGATTAACGTGAATCATTAGTCATAGGGGGATGTTAAATAAATATTAATTTCTTCCCCTTGTACAGCAAATTTTTCTATAGCCCCATCTGAGAACAGATACACACACACACAGAGATATGCAGACTTTATATACACTATATAGACATATGCATATGTATATAAATGTATTTAAACTGTATACATATTAAAAAAGAGAGCAAAAAACAGGAGCTAATATACTCTAAATCCTCATGATCGCTAATAGAAAACAAAAACATTTATTCACTAAATGGAGATTCTGAAAAACAGGGAGCAATAGATTTCTGCTAAACCAGTGAATAATCTATAAACAAGAAGCTAGTAGACATGTCTTTAATTGAAATTTCTCATGAAATCTCTTGCCTTTGAGGACAAGAGAGAGTATATGTGAAAGTTTCGGCTGAGCTTACCAATGCTGAACCTACAAACATCTAGGTCAGCATAGTATTTTGCCAGTTTTGCCAAGTGAGCGCTCATGAACACAAGGCCAATTTGAAGGAGAGTGCCTTTAGGCTAAGATGGGAATGCTAAATCCGAGTCATTTAATTCATTATTTATTCATTCATTCAACAAACATCTTTTGAGGGCTTTCTATCTGCCTAGCTCCATGCCAGACACTGAGTGCACCGCCAAGAGTAACACTAAAAGCACTGTTTTCATGGAGTTTACATTCTAAGTTCTGAATAAAATATACAGAAGTCCTTAAAAATGGACAAATATGACTATATCAAATTTGAAATGTCTACATGGTAAAAAATATATATATATAAATAAAAGTAAAAATAATAGGAAACCAAATGGGAAAACATTTGTACTACAGAAAAAAAGACAAATGGATCTATTTTCTTCTGGTGGATGATAGTTTAGATAGATAGGTAGATAGATAGATAGACAGACAGACAGATAGAGAGATAGATAGATAGATAGATAGATAGATAGATAGATAATACCTTACAATTCATTACAAAGGGCAATCATCTCTTAGGAAAACTAGCAAAGCACATAAGCAGACAATTCACAAACACACAAAAGTGCCTTCTAGTGTTGTGAAATTTTGTGAAAAATTTGCTCAATCTCTGAATAAAAATTTAGTAATCTTCTGCGTAGGTTAAATGTTAGGAAAAACATATATTGTATATTTTCTGTAATCATGACAAATTATTTGGAAGCTAATTTGGCCATATCCTTCCCTCAAAATTCATCCATTCTACTGCTAAGAATTGATCCTAGAGATAAATCCATGCGAAGTGTTATTTGAAGAATGATGTGAAAGTCTGCAAATACCCAAATTGTCCCTCAATACAAGGCTGGGTAAATAAATTAGACTTTGGTCATACACATGGAACCTATAAGGTGGATTCAAATGTACAGATATGGAGCAATTTCCAAGATAAAATTAGTGAAAAAGCAAGATATAGAACAGTGAATATAATATGTTATCAATGTGCATAGACATGTGTCTACGTACAGATTGTCTCTGCAAGTATTCACAGCAGCCTGATAGCAGGGGTTGACTGGGAATGGGAGTGGGACATAGGGCACTGGGACGAAATGAGACTTCTGTTGTACTATGTTCTTTCAATGTTTATCTTGTGCATGGAAAAACATGTGCACCGTAAACATGTGGTATAACAATTTAAATTGGTCAATAAGTGGGAACAAACTCAGAATTAGCTCAGGGGATTCAAATCTAACAGAAATGGTCTTCCAAGGGTTCATGAAGTGTTCATTCACGACAGCAGGGGGCAGTACTAGACACGGTTTGGATGAACGGGCCCTGGAGAAATGGGAAAGGAAGTAGTTAACCACTCGTTCTGAAAAGAGCTAGAAATAGGCTCAGTGACTTACGACCTCTGGTCATGAAAAGAATGGTTTGTTCATGTTTGGAATATGTTTAGCTTCAGTACTTGGTTTTTAGAGTTTTATATTGGGAGGGTCCTTGGCAAGTATTTACTCCGGTGTCCTTGCTTTAATTCTTAAACACTGAGCCCAAAGAACACAACGGAATTAGCTGATTATCTATAAGGAGCCGTGCCACAGAGCCAGACCTTCTGACTGTTTTGCCCCAAAGAGATGGTGTGATTGATACGGACAACTGACCGCTTCTGAACGTCAGTTTTCAGCAGCCTGACTCTGCCCTCGTGAAGTAAGAAGAAAGTCAAACAGCTCATTTCAAGTTGCACAAAGCACGTGCTAGTTTATACAAACACACAACTTTGTGGCCCGGGTAAGCCTTCCCTTCTCGCCTTTGATAAAACATAAGTTCTCTTGAGTTTCTCTTTTGGAAGTAATTTAGAGTCATATATACTTAGTTCTCATTAGTTTTTATACTGTTCAGTCTTGCGTGATTATTTTCCCTCTTGCACTAAATGTTGGACTTACTGATTATTCGTGTCTCTGTGTCTTTTCCCTTCACTTCTCTAGTTGTTGACAAAATGTTCTCCTTTCCTCAGTTTATGTGGTTCTTGCTTTTCTCACTATCAAGGTCAACTGCACGGTGGCAACTGTCTTCTAGCACCTCTGTCTCTTCGCCCCAGCTGTGCACGCCAGAGGAGCATTTTCTCCTTGTGTACCGTGTTCTGCTCTGACTGTAATGCTCTGAGCTCTGGAATGGGGGTTGGTGCCTACATCACCAGCACCATCATCCCCAACTTCTACTGCGGATGCGAACAAACAGGAAAGGGGTGGAGGATAAGCGAAGGTCACTGCCTCCAACCTGCCAAGAAAAAGCTCTCTCCCTCCCTGGTCCCTCTACTCCTGTCAGAGGAGGCAGATGAGGACAGAGAGTGACAGAGGCTACGGAGGGAGGGTGGCCATGCTAGGCAATGGCAAGACGTCAGCCCTGGGGATAATAGCGCCCGATCGGCCCTAGCTTCTTGGGATTGGTCCAACACTTAGATTCTGAATTTCTGACATTCTCTGCAACTGAAGAAGCACTGACCTGGGTCAGGCATGGAGTAGGGAGCTGTTATTGGAGGTAAGTAGAACCAGTTAAACCGGTCACTGAGTAGCAACAAGTAAAGAATTAGCTCATCCTCAACGTATAAAAATACAGGCTTGCACCACATCAGTGTTTTCAGACTAGCATGGATATAAGAATCATGGGGGACCCTTATTAAAAATACAGATTTCAAGATGTTTCCTTGGAGATTCTTATTCAGAAAACCTGGAGTGGGGCCCAAATTTTGTGTGTTTTTAAGAAGAGATTCTCAATGGCTTTTATTATCGAGAAAGTGTCAGAATATTTCAAAAAAAACTCCTCCAAACCCTAAACTTCTATGAGAATTCCCCACTGCAGTTGTTCTCTTTTGTCTGTTGTTGTCTTCCTGTTTGTTCCTCCTATTTAACAGTAGGCTTCCTCCACTTCCGTGGTTTACATTAGAATCACCTTTGGAGGTTTTAAACATATCCGTTATTTCGCAACCCTTAAGGAAACACCACTGGCTGATAAATAGGGTCTGGTCTTCGATACTAGTGCTCTGCAGATTATTTCCAATTTGCCCCTTCACATCCACTCTCCACCCTTCTCCACCTGATCTCTGATGTTGAAGGTGAACCCTGCTGACCACATCAATGGGCTCACTTGACTTCTGACTTCCAGTTGGGTGTATGGGAGCCATCAGCCCTCCTTGTATCTCAGGGTTTCACTTTTTTTTTTTAATTTACACCAGACTTTTTCTTTTATACTTTTTTATTTTCCACTAAGAAGGAAACAAAGTGGAATTCTAGTGGGGCCAAGGATTAAAATGAAAAAATAGGAGTACTTTCAATTCCCGCAATCTGGAAATCCAGTCTCCTTACCCACTTCCAGTCCATATGTGTTCCTTGGGTTTTGAGACTTCTGGCCAGAAGATAACTGTGTCATTTGTGCAAAATAGTAAGGGCAGAGCTTGTAGCAGAAGAAATGTTCTCAAGTCCTGAGTTCCTTTAATTGTCATGTTCAAAGTCACAGAATGTATTGCTACCATGAATAATCTTAGATTATCTAACTCAGGCCAACTGGAGGATCCCAAGTGTGAGATCTCTGCCCAAAATTAGAGGGCCAGGATTAGAACCCAAATCTCTCACCTGTCTACCATCGTGCCTCTCTTTTCAGTTAATTTACTCCATTCTTACCACAAATTACAAAACAGAAATGAAGAAATTAATACTGCTAGTACCCAAAGCATCCAAGTCAGAGCACGGCAGCCCTTGAATTACACAATTGCCTTGAAAGTGTTGGGGAAAGATAGTTAGTTATGTGCACATTACATTTGACACAACTTCAGCGATGAAGCAAGCCATCATTTTAATTTTTGGATGCCACTCCCTATCTTTTGCATCTGAGCGTACACTTTAAAGTATATAAATCTTTTCAATCTGAATCAAGGCACTGAAGAGAAGGCTCACATGGTCAGAGTCTTGAGTTGAATCTCCAGTCTTCCACTAACTTAGAACTGTTCAATTTAAAGCTGCATCAGACCTCAAGGACGACCTAGTTCAATAAAATGTAGACCCAGAAATGTCATGATTCAGAAAGTAACAAAGCAGAAGCAGGACTTGCCTACTAATCCTATGTTCTTTTGCATGCGCCATGCTCACTTCCTGTGTGACTATGCCTTCTTTGTTTAAGTGGTTCTCAGAACAGGGCATCAGATACTTGCATATAGCATTTAATACAACTTCATCATGAGATTCGAGGTAAATATCTCCTTTATTAAATGGAAAGGGGAGAGAAGTGACATAAATGGTATCTTAAAAGACTACTACCAGTCATAATGAATGCCTAGCAAAAACAGATTTGAAGGACTTAAACAAAATTTAGAGAAATACTGATGACATCTATTCAGCTGATAGGGAAAAATGGTAACGTCTGAAACGCCCGGTCAGAAGTTGATTTCGCCCACTACTCTGAGCTCAACTGTTCTGCATGGGAGAGTCTGACACCAAGAGAACTCGTAGTAGTAACTTATGGGAAGTGACTGTGTAAGTCAAAGAAACCACTTCCGACAGCTGAATTTCAAGGCTCAGGCAGATCAAGAGGGCAGAAGTAAGCAAAGCTAAAGCAGGTGGCGTGGAGAGTGGCAGATGCTCCGGCGCCTCATATGATCCCAAACTGAGCAAGCTCATGCAGCTCCAGGTGGCTGAATGCCTCCCAGGGACAAATCACTGTGATGTCTGCAAGAGAGGGAAGAAGAACTTATAAGTCAGCCTCACTCCCAGGAGAGCCTTCTGTTCAAAACGACATCCTTCAGGCAGAGATGCCTCACTCCTCTCTCCTATTCATTATCCAGGGACTGGGAAGCTGCCCAGAAGGGCCCTGCAGCCCAGGAAGGAGCAGACCAATTGCTTAATTGATCCTCTGCAGGGCCCTGATGGCCCCGGAACAGCACCCTCCCTCCCCAGGAATCTGTGTTGGTTTTATTCTGCTTCTGCTTTAGGGAAATGACTCAAGGCTTTGGACTGGGGCTACCCTGTGGGAGCGCAGCCCTCTGATTGCACAGGGTCTCACAAAAGCACAGCCACAAAGGAGGGAACAGAGCTGGAATTCTAGTTGGGTCAAGGATTAAAATGAGAAATGGGGCTCTTTAAATGCCTGTGGTGTGGAAATCCAGCCTCCTTCTCGCTACCAGTCCAGATGCTTTTCTAGGGCTTCTCTGACTGCCCTTGAGTTCTGCTACATCCAATCGCACACCGAGAAGTGATCTCAAGGCAGCATCTCATCCAGTCCCTCGCATCAGGAATAAGATATTACTGTTTCCGAATTACAGAGAAGCTGGCTGATACCCAGAGAGATTAGACACCTAGCCAAAAAATCTCACAGTTGTAGAGATTACTAGAACCAGGTCAAAGACTTTAGAATTTCCCTCAGTAAAAACCTCTTTCCACTACTCCAAATATGTTGGCAGAGTTAAGGATGTATTTAGAATCCATAGTGAATTTGCTGGTCTTGTATATACTTGGCTAAAACACAGAAGCATTTGATTTAGAAGACTAGCACATGAGCTTTATAAAGTGGCTAGACATTCTATTTGAGACCCTAGGGGCGGCACTGGAGAGCAAAGAGCAAATACACTGAGAATTGCCCAGTAAGGACACTAATATCTATGGGTGCCACCATTTGCCACAAGTGTATTGGATGAGTTGAAAACCTATGTCCACACAGAAACCTGCACAAGGATATTTATAGCATCTTTATTCATAATTGCCCAAACTTGGAAGCAATCAAGATGTCCTTCAATGGGATGATACAACCACACAATGAAATATTATTCAGTGATAAAGAGAAATGAACCATCAAGCCATGTAAAGACATGGAGGAATCTTAAATAAATAAATATGGCTAAGTGCAAGAACTCAGTCTGGAAAAGCTATATTCTATATGATTCTAACTATAGGAAACTATGTATTTGTTAATTTGTTAATCAAAAACCTACTCTAAATAAATATCAGAATACACAGTAGAAAGCAGTTAGTCAGTAAGTGTTTTCTGGCTTTACTCTAAATCAGAATATTATAGAAAACAACCTAAACTTAAAAAACTTATAAAATATATTTGTCAGTATAGGTCACAGGATCAGAGGGACGGAAGTCCGGACAGGTGTAATTATTCTCAATATCTTTATTGGCATTGCCATTGCTTGAGATTCTTTGAAAATAATAATTACTATAATTCAAATCGCAAATTACTACATGCTATGTCTTTCTCATAGTAGAATTTCTATATTATAGATTGTACATAGTTAGAACTATATATTCTAACACCTGGAAAAGGCAAAACTATGGAGACCGTAAAAAGGTGAGGGGTCACCAGGGGTTCGTGGGGAGGGAGGGATGAACAGGTGGAGAGTGGGAGATTTTGGGGGGTGGCAAAACTGTTCTGAATGAACCTGTAAGGGTGGATAAAGGACACTGTGCATTTATCAAAACCCAAAGAACTGGACAACACGAAGAATGAACAAGCCATTTCAGTTAATAATAATGCATTAATACTGGTTTATGAAGTATAAAAATGTACTGCACTAATTCAAGGATGTTAATAATTAGGGCAACTAGATACAGGAGGAGGAACGTGGCAGAGAGGTTATATCAGGACTCTGTACTTTCTGCTTAATTCTTCTGTAAACCTAAAACTGCTGTAAAAATCGAAGTCAATTAATTTTTAAAGGATCTGCAGTCATTTGCATGCATTATCCAACAAATGAAAATTCTAGCCAATTGAAAACTATTGTACCACATACTCTCAGTGTGTAGAGCCCTGTTCTGGTGCCAGAGGATGTGTAAAAAGAGGAAGTTGGTTAAGAAGTAGTTCACTCAGTAGAGTGGAAAGGCTTCCCTGGCCCCACCCTTGTTTCCAGTACCTCACTCTGCAGCCTCAGATTGTCACTTAATTCCTCTATGTCTCAGATTTCTCTTCTGAAAAATAAAAATGCTGGGCCAGACTAACTCTGAGAACCTTCCTACCTTGAAAGTCTACAGTGCACCATTATATGCCCTCAAGAGTATTTTACCAAAGCAAGAGGATTCTTCAGCTTTGTGCCTAGTCTGGTTTCTGTTAGAGTTTTTCCCTCTGGGCACATCCATACTTACGTAGGAGGGTAAATTAAAACTCTACACTTCTAGGGTTTCAAAGAATCTGCTGCCTTAGATGTTGCTGGTAACTTTCAACTGCCTCTTGAGGCTAAAAGGAGAAAACAAGGCAAAACTCCAAGGGCAAAGTTCTCACTTAAATCTTCGGGGAGCTCACCTGTTCCTAGCCCCTCCATGCCTGGAATATCATCTCCAAACCTATGGGGAAAAACACAAGAGCAATTAGCTGTCATCAGAGCAGAAGGATCCTGGAATGAGTCATGTCAAAAGTTTCCTGATTCAAAGGGAAACAAGAGGTTTAAGTTTTGTATCTGAGAAACTCCTTTTGTTTGCCTGGAACTGGTTCAGAGGAAAGGTCACTCAGGCAGGTTTTAGACATTAAGTCCCAGGGGAGAGGTATACGCTCCCTAAACAAATTTAACCTGGGACAATTGAGAGCCAGAAAAAAAAAGATCAGTGGGGCAACTTAGTCAAACTCCACTTTTTAAAATAGAAATTGGAATGAGAGAGCAATAGAAAAGGCATGACAATGACTAATTTATCTGTTGGTTTAGTGAGCCAAAAGCATGTATTAAGCACCTGCTCTGTGCCTGGCATTGTGTTAGGCACTGGGCTGTTAAGAGAAAAACAAACACACAAATATTCTCTGGGGGAATCTCAGTCTCAGGGAACAGATAGAGAGCAATAAATGTCATATAAAGTAATAGAAGTTACAATAGCAGAATGCACAAAATGCAAACATGGAAGTAATGGTAAAGTTTATCTAAGGGAGTCAGGAATGGCTTCAAAAAGAAATTAACATGGGTGTGTGTTGAAAAATAAATTAAGTTTTGCCAAGGAGAAAAAGAGAAAAACGAAAAACTGAAGAGAGAAGATTAGGAGCCATAAAAATAAACTGCCTTCTGAAAGTGGCCAGTGGTTCTGTATTCCAGATTAAAGCATAAATTATATCAGTGAAGGAGAGTGGTCAAGAAAACTCTGGAAGGTCAAGTTGAAGGTCACTCTGAAAGGCTCCATTTTCCATGTTAAGTTTGGCTGTCGATCTGGGAGCTGAATGAGAAAGGATTCCAGGACTAAGAACATGACCCTGCAAATATTGTGTTAGAAAGGAAAGCAGAGGTGGAAATTTTTATGTCTGTTTAGTATTGTGAGCATTAATTTCTCATAGCCAAAACAGTCTCGTGGAGGGAAAAAAAAAACAATAGAAAGTCTTCTTCTTCATCTTGGTCTTACCCTTTCACACCTTTCTTAGGAGGTTTGCTCTTGAACTGGCGAGTCTGCCTCTGCTTGAACTTGGGGGGCCCTTTGCGTGGGGTGGTGGGACCCTGGTTGGAAGCTGGAGGAGCCAATGTAGTGCTGTCACTCATCCTGATGGTCCTCGGGTGGCTGATGGTTTTCTTTCAGGCTTCTTAGACAGTAGGAGGGGAAAAGAAGACCCTTCAAGATATGAGGACCATTGCTTATTAGACCTTTACAGTAAACTGGAAGGGGAAAAATTACCTGATAAAGAAGCTCAGTATTTTGTGTTGACACCAAAAGGAAGAAGTTATTATCTTTTAAAGGGATTTTTTAGTGCACACCTAGCATGCATGAAGTCCTGGGTTCAATCTCCAGTATCTCCATTAAAAAAAAAAAATCACCCAGAGTGATTTTTTTTAAAAAGGAGAGGAATTTTTAAGAAAATATGGTATAAGTCAATGGGGGCAGTCAGTACAGTGGGATATAAACTGAAAACTGATGGATTTCAAAAATCTAGGTAGATTTATTGTTCCAATAGATCTGCCACTCGCTTTCTGTGTGAATTTATTATAATGGTGGCATTTCTCCGATTTGATCACCGGTGTCACCATCTGCAAAGGGAGAGACGTGAACTAAAGAGTATCTACAGCCTTTACAGCACTGACACGTTCTTTATACTTTGCCCACTCTTCCATTCAGCTGCAAAATAACCTGGCTCTTAACATTTATTCCCTCAGTTTTCATAGTCTTTGTTCTTTATGGTCCTTATTTTATTTCATCGTCATGTGACCCAGAGACTTCTTTCCTAGATCTAGGGAATGACGATGTAGTCATCTGGGGAAGGAAAACCTGAACCAGGAATACCAACACCATGAAAGTATTTCATACATCCCAGAACACACACACACATACACACATCAGTGCAGAATGTGAAGTTGCAAGTTTGTGCTTTAACTCTCCACATCCAGACATGAAGTTCTTTAGCCATGTATTCCTCAGAAATCTTCAGCATTTTCTCCTGATCAAATCAAGGACCTATCCAATATGGTTTTCCCAGGCTTTCCTTTTAGCTAAAGAAATGCACATTGTAACTCTCCAAGTACAAATAAAACAACATAAAAGATTATTGTTATTACAAGTTATGGTAACATGTGATAGCAAATTAACATGATTTATGCTAAGCCGAAGGATTTTTTTCTTTCTCCTTTTCTATCACAAATGTCAGTACTACTTACCCTGAGAAGGAAGATTCTGAAAAGCTCCGAAGAACTTCCCAACAGCCTTCCTCTCCCAGCTTGGGCCAACCCCCTCCATAGTCTACGGCTTGGGTACTTTGTTTTCACAGAATTCCTTATTTCATCCATTATAGACTTAGGCAAATATTGTTAACGTCAATCCTCCCTCACAATGTTTGGCTCATGCTAACCGTCTTTCCTCTCTCTCTGCCACATCCCTCAAATCTTTTATTGCATACATTTATCAATTTTTTTATTACTTTTAAAAATTATATTACATTCTAATCCTTGCCTCCAAGATACTTTTCCCTTATTTTCTTTTCCCCAGTTACTTTTTTCATTCTCTCCTGCCAGTCCTCAACTCGTTCAACAGAAGCACATTGACTCATCTTGAGCTGGAAGCAGGGATGGTGAACCTCGCCAGGGCCCTGGATCACCTGCTCATGTGCCATGGATCTGGTCCTCATCCCCCACTGGAATACACTCCAAGAGGCTGCCTTTTCACTCTTTGTTCGTTTCTGTAGCCCCAGAACCTACAATGGTACCCGGCACATCGTAGGCGTGCCATATATATTTGTCAAATGAGTGAACAAATAAATGAAGAGATTGAACTCACACCCTGAACCTTGGGTCATGAGATCCTGTCCCTGTGACCTTCTCCCTCAAACCACAGGGAAAGCATCAGCTGATCTTTGCCTCACAAAGCCCTCAGTGGCTTTAGGAAATGTACTGCCAGCTCCTCTGCTCAGTGAATCCAATTCTTGTGCTGGGGGCCCTCTCCTGCCCTGGTAAACAGGCAAAATTGGTGCCTCTCCCAAGCGTGGTTAGGACCATGGGAATCACTGGTGGGCTGCCAAGAGCAGCACTGGTCTCGGAGTGTGCCACCAGTAGCTGACACATCCCAGCTCTGCCAAAGCCACAGAGGAGAATGAGAGAATCTCTCACGGATCAAGTTGTGTGGGTTCCCCCATTCTCTCAAAGCAGTAAGAAACTACAAACTTTCCTTTCTCTACTCTGGAGAGCCTACTAGGATGAGGATTGCCAGATTTAACCAATGAAAATACAGGGCATCCAGTTACATGTGAATTTCAGACATATAACAAATGATTTTTTTTTAGTATAAGTATATCCCAAATAGTCCAGGGTATATACTTATACTTAGAAACTTTTGTTGTTGTTGTTTTGTATTTGAAATTCAAATTTAACCAGGCACCCTCTACATAAGCCGGCCACTCTAACTGGGGTCCCACTGTGGATGTTAAATCCAAGGTCTATCATGGGAGAGCCTAAAGTAATTACCCTAAGTCAGATCACCCTTGAGGGGGAAATACATTGAAAAGAGTAGAAAAAAACTGGGTTCAAATTCCTGCTCCACAAAACTGTCTGTGTTACCTTGGGTAAGTGACATCATCTCTCTGGGCCTCATTCTATCATAAAATGAATCAAAGAATATCTTCTTTTTAGGGTAATGGGGAAAATAAGAGGGAATAACGTGTTCAGTGAAAAGTGCTCAAAAAGGAGTAATTATATAGGAGACCTTCCGACGGTCAAGGAAGCCATGCAAACAAACTTATGGTTGTGACCCAGGTTCCCCTGGACTTGTGCACCCCTCCTCCTGGGCCATCCACTGAAGGGTCCTTGTCATGCACTGGAGAGGTGACGGTCGCCTACGCTTGCCGGGGAACCCTCTGCATCCCTCAAGTGCCCCAGCTATTCACTAATGTCTAGTCTCAAGATTCTGTCTTAAGAACCCTTTTTGGATTTCTTGGACACCCCTAACAGCAACTCCAGAGAACTCAAAAGTCACCCTTGACTTCTACGCACCCCCGATGACACTTCCTCTTTCCTCTGGCAAGTTTCTTTGGCATGTTTATGTCATTGCACCTCTGGGCTTGGACAGAGTTCGTGTCTAATTCTGAGTGTGAGGCATTACGTAAAAGGATTCTCCTCAGAAAGAGTTACATAACCGTTGCCAGGCTAATCCCCTGATCCTCGTGGTCCTCGGGATTTGCACTCTGCATAATAATTGTTATTGCATTTATCACGCTTTTCCTGTCCAGTATTTCATTTTTGGGAACGTAGAACAGTCAGCCAATCCCTAGAGTGTTTCTGTCATGGATTCACCCTCCTGTTCTCCCTGTAAAACCCCTGAGAAGAGCAGAACACATACGACCTTGTCCTGCCTTGGAAGCCAATCCTGTCAGCCACAGATGTCACCTACGGCTGATCTTATCCTGACCTTGCTTTCCTAGGAATTCCAAGGGCATCCCTGGAGCTGAATAATTCTGAACTGAGTATCAGACCTGATTTTAGCTATAAGCAGACAGTTCACATTTTGACCTTCAAAAGCATCAAGTAATTCTTTCCTTTGCGAGGCAGACTGTTTTCCTGTTTTTAAAGCAACGTTAGCCCATCCCCTTTTGCAGATGACAAATCGTTATTCCGCAGAAAGAAGTGGGGGCAGCAATGTAATTAATATCTCAAGGGATCGTCTTGCAGGGAGCTGGGGTTAGGGCTGCCTTAGACGCAGGGCAGCAGGGCTCAGCTGCCTGGAGCTGCAGAGGGTGAGCCTCTGTCATTTCCAGCTAAGGGAGGGCAGTCCCTGAAGGTTCTTGAGTCCAGCTCTCTGATGCTACTGTGGTCCCCCTAGGTTCCCAGCACCCACCATCCCAGCAAAGATAGGGGAAGACAGACGATTCCATTGTTGACGGATGGGGAGAATGCAGGGGCAGGGGCTGTGTGCCCCACTGATGGGCTTGAGCCCATGAAAGCCACCCAGGGTCCTGCTGAGGCAGGGAGAACCAAATACTCTGGGGAGTCAAGGAAGACCCAAACCAAAGCCACGGAAAAACAAAAACAAAAATCCAGCAAGCACCTTGCCTCAGCTAGGAGCAAACAAGCGCTCTAACCTCAGAGGGAGGAGGCTTTGCACACCGCCCCACACGGCGGTCACTCCCGCTGGCCCTCTGCCCCTTCGCCTCGTCCTCACGCTCCCATGGCAGCCTCTCGGTGCCTGGACCCAGTTTTCAAGCACATCCTGGGAGTGAAGAACTGTTTGCTCTGTGGTCATTAAGTGCCCCAGCTCCCTCCTTTCCCCAGAACACTGTTTACTATGGAGTTGCCAAAAAGGAGGGTCAGTTTGGGGTCCCTTCTGAATGGATTTGGTAGTCAAGGTTTGCAGTGACCTAGGAATAATCAAGCTTCACTTATCGGCTTGCCCCAGGGTGTTGTGAGGCAGCTTGGGGGTACTGCCTTCCTGCTCTCTCCCGTTTCCATCCCCAGCCCTGGTCCAGGCCCTCAGGTTCAGCGTGTTCTCATCTTCCGTTTCTTTGTTTTAGAGCCTGGCCAACCCCCCACAAAGCCCTTTGATGACATCCTGCTTAAACTCCAGAAGTGGAGACATACTCACAGAGCTGAGCGTTTCTCCTATAGGCTGTCCGGTGGCCTTCTTCGCAGGAGAGGAATAAAGGACCTTTGCCTCCTGATTTATCTCCCTGTAATACCCTCCTGCTGCCTAATCTTGTCGTCATAAGCTTAAGAGGACCAAGCCAGGAGCAAAGAAGTTGGAAGAGTGTGGGGTGAGCCCGGGACGGACTCTTCTGATAACTGGTAACTCTTACGAACTGACGTGGGCTCTCTCCTGTCAACAGGCAGGCCCTGAATCCACACACAAACACACACACACACAAAATGTTGATTTCCAAGGGCAGCTTTGCAGATTGTGATTCAATACTGTTTTCCCCTTCTCCATTGCTGCCTTTAGTCCTTGCTCTCCCCGCATCCTTCCCTTTCCCTGACACACACACTCCCCTGGATACTGCTTCTCTCCCCCTGACCTGTCTCTCTCTCTCTCTCTCTCCACACACACACACACACACACACACACACACACACCATGACATGACTCTCACGGAACTCTAGAAAACTGGAAAGAAGAGAGTGAACCACAGTGTCCCCTGCTTC